TTGTAAGTATAAAAAGGGTTATACAAAGAATAACATGGTTCCCCAGACTAACCCATGTATAAGAAAGACATAAAACAAAGTATACTTCAGAAAGGTAAGAACATTGAAACTGAGAATACAATCTATATGAAAGGAAATGAAAAGAAAGAACCTTGACTTGGAAAACATAAGTGGAGAAGCATAAGAGTTACTTATATAAGAACATATAAGAATATAAGGTATATAGAGGTAAAGAACATATAAGAATATAAGTAAGAACATATAAGAATAAATATATATGTAAAGAATGGAAGGAGAATAAGTATATTAAACAGGGTACTCATTGGAGGAATGCTACACAGAACAAATAAGTATATGAGTAAATAGAATACTAACAGAAAACAGTAGCTGGATGGTAAATTATTGAAAAGAGAAAACTCGGCCCGTTACAGGGACAGGAAAGGCGACCTGCTTAAACTGTCTGGATATAAGGGATTTCATCTCTATTCGGGTAAAGGTATAAGAGGGGTCTCAACATACATTAAGAATTCCATACCAGCAGAACTAGTTGGAAACCCGAGTAGAGTACAAGGAATAGAAAGTGTCTGTATAAAGTTATATTTGAAGGAAGGAGAATTGAACATAGCAAATTTGTATATTTCTGGATGCTGTTTTGACCTCAACTTCTTACCAGATTGCATGTTTTTGGACTCAACTTTGGCTGTAAGAGATTTTAATGCTCGACATCCAAGACTCGAAACAATGGGGAGAATTAATAGTAATGGTATAAAATTTTGGCAATTATTACAAGATCACCCAGATGCTTACTTGTTAGGAAATAAGGAAGTGACTCATATTAAAGGAGGAAGGTTAGACTATGCTTGCATGATAAGCAGTCAGGGAGTCCAGGGAGAATGTGAGATAATAAGGGAGCTAGTCAGTGACCATTTTGTTGTGTATGTTCAATTACCATTAGGGAAGAGACAGGTGAGATATAGGAGGAAGAAATTGAAATTAAACAAGGATGACACAGAAGTGTTTACCCAAAATATAGAGAAATGGTACAGAAATTATACACCAGTCTGTATGGATAGCTTTTATAATGACTTAGTTGGGGAGATAGAAAGATATTTAACTAAGTCAACACAGAAAAAAATAAATGATAAGAGACATGGGGCTAGGAAACACTGCTATACCAATGACAAAATGTTGAAGGGATGGACACAAATGTTAAGGGCAGCACATAAAGATTGGGTAAAGAATGGTAGAAGAGAAGAAGATAGGGAAATCTTCATGGATATAGCCAAAATATGTGGGCAGGCTAGGAAGGAGGCAAGGGAGAAATATTGGCAAGATTTTGCACAGCACATTGGGGAGAGTAAAAATCTCAAAGAAATATGGCAGGATATTAACAAAATTAGAGGAAAAAGGAGTAATTTTATTAGCCATCCTCATCCAGAGGAAGAAGCTAATAAACTGGTTGACAAATGGGCTAAAGCTGCTAGTGTTGCCTCCCTGCCTAACAGGACAATAGAAGCATTAGATGAGTGGCAAAATGAAAGAAAAAGATTTATTTCATCAGCTCTAAATATTTGTGATGTAACATGTGTAGATATTACTCAAGATGAGTTATTAAATGCTGTTAAAAAAGGAAAATCTACAGCACCAGGCAAAGATGGTGTGACATGAAATTTTGAACTGCTTAGTTGGTATGGAAAATAGTCCATTATTAGATTTATTCAACATGAGCTATGCAGAGGGTAGATTACCAACAGAATGGAAGAAAGCGATAGTTATTCCTTTCCCTAAGGCAACTGGTGGATACAGGCCAGTGTCTTTAACATCTTGTTTTTCCAAGATGATGGAGAGAGTATTATTAAATAGGCTTGTATATATTGTGGGGGAAAATCTATCTTGTAATTTATTTGTTTTTTTGGAAGGGAAATGTACTTCAGACTGTGTTATAAAATGTTTATCAAATGATGCAGACAGATGTAGAGTTTTTGTGGATTTACAAGGAGCATTTGATAAAGCTCACAGTGAAGTAGTTATGAATGAACTGGCTGCTCTAGGGGTATCAGGAAAGTTGTTACACTGGATAGGTGACTACTTGCATGGAAGGAGAATCTGTGTATGGTATCAGGGATGTTTGTCTGAGGAAAGAGCACTTGAACTAGGCACTCCCCAAGGGGGAGTATTGAGTCCAATGTTATTTAATGTGTTAATGAACAAGATAGCCTCACACAAATATCCCAAAGGAGTTGTAACCATCATTTATGCAGATGACATCTTATTTCAAGGAAACTCTGTAAAAAATTTGCAGATTGCATTAAATGATTTTAGTGTTCTTTCTCAAAAGATGGGCTTAGTTATCAATGAAGAAAAAACCAAGTGTGAATGTAAAGGAAGAGGAACTGAATCCGTTTTTCTAAATGGAAAAATTGTTGAGAAAGTGTCAAAGTATAAATATTTAGGAATGTATATTGGCTTTACTAGTGAAAGTAAAGAGGCAGAAATATATCATGTCCTCACTCAATGTAGAGCAAGATTACAGCCCTTGAAGGCTCTAGCATGTTGTGGTAAAGGTGCTGGGGTACCCATACTGAGAATGATGTGTATTTCTACCATCAGATCACTTATAGACTATGCAGCACCTGTCCTCTCTTGTATTGGTGAAGGAAGGCTACGGAAGCTTGAGATCATGCAAAATGAAGCAATGAGAATTATTTTAGGGTGTCAAAAGAATGCAATGATTGAGATAATGAAAATGGAACTAGGGTTACAGAGCATTTCACAGAGGGTCAATGAAATTAATACAGTTGCAGCAGTTCGATTAATGAGAGGGAACAGTGGGGGTAAATTTGTACAAGATATAAATGATGGTTTAAAAGATAAAAGGACCTTCTGCAGGCAAGGCAAGAGAGGATACATGAATGGATTAGTAAATATTATTAAAAAATGTAATCTGGCAGACTGGTGTACAGCTGTTCAGAAGAGTTGTAAGAATCCACCCTGGGAAGAACGAGAAGTAGAGTTAGACATAGTGCCTCTCACAATGAAGAAATCATTACATGAACCAGGACAGTTAAGGGCTTTATATGGGAATAAGATTAGTAATTTGCCTAAAATAAACACATTGCATGTTTTTTGTGACGGTTCAGTTATGTCAAGTGGCAGGGCAGGGTGCGGGATCCTTATAAGACAGTACACAGAACAAGGAAATGATGACATCAAAATTGGACTTTGGTTGAGAAGTTTTATTTCATCAACACAAGCTGAGTTATATGCAATGTTAGTAGGATTGGAAAATGTTGTAAAGAGGTATAAAGATGCATATTTTTTTGTTGATAGTAGGGCAGCTTTGGATTCTTTGAACAGTGGGAGTCCAGTCTTTGGACACATTATTGGTTCACGTAGAAAATTAGTAAATATAATAAGGAAAAATGGCCATAATGTTCAATTTGTATGGGTCCCTTCACATGTGGGGATTGGTCTTAATGAAGCAGTAGATATAATAGCAAAAAGAGCCACGGAAAAGGCCGAGATCGACATAATATGTACTAAAACCTTGAAGCAATTAAAGAGCAAATTACAGAAAATACAATCAATAGAAGATAATTTCAAAAGGAATGAAATATACGAGAAAAGTGAAACAATGAAACATTACCATCATGTTCTCATGAACACAAAATTTACATATGGGAAAGATAGGAGTAGGTGGAAAGATTCAGTGTATATGAGGTTAAGATTAGGATATAAATATTATTGGGAACTTGGAGCTGAGAGAAGTGAACAGGATAAAGAATGTAGAGTTTGTAGAACATCCAGATCCCATACCCTGCTACATTATATACTGGAATGCCCATTGCTTAATGTATATAGAAATGCCCATATAAATAATGTCCCCATGCAAATAGAGCGGATGTTTGGAAATAGGAAAATAGATGAAATATTAAAGAAATATAGAAATTTTGCATCTAGAATATAACTATGTATTATAACTAATTATATGAAATATTAGGGATTTATGTGAGTCCTGAAAGGGACATTCCTGGACTGGGGTGAGGATGACTTATGTCACTTCATCCCTTTGAGATGTATTAATGTTTTTTTGTATCTCAATAAACGTATCAATCAATCAATCGACATACGACCGCCTCGGTCGTACCAAAATGTTGTCAAATTATGTATTTTTGAATGCAGACATTAGTGATTGCGCTGTGTACCGACAACATTTTCATTTGTAATTCCCTTTAAAATGGCCGGCAAGCGTAAGAGTGAGAGTTTCGTGGTGCCGAGAAGAAAATGAGACGCCCATCTATGTACAGTATTATTTTCCCATTTTCGACTTGCGACCCGGTCGCCGGTCCCTATCCCCGTCGTAAGTCGGAGACCGACTGTACCGTAATGTACTGGCTATATACGGTATAGCTCTACTGTATATCATTATCTACAAGAGTTAAGTCGGACTCGCGAACGAGCCTCGGGAGCTCGACTCGTCTGTCGGTCGAAGAGCTCCTATACGGTATTGGCTTATAATCGACGAGTACGGTCACCCCAAAATAATATCTTTAGCCACAGGGTCGACGTGCTTCGAGGCTATTCGACCAATGTTACACGACCCGTTTCAGAACTGTTGCTAACTCTACGTCTACACCTCTGAGCACGAATGAGCATACGTATGTTTTTGAGAGATGCGAATCCTCCGAGGCTTCCGATCGCACGTCAAGCGAATTGAGATTGCGTGTCGTAAATGGACGCCGACGCCGTGCCGGTCATTAATGGGATCTTACGTCAAATTTTACCGCTAGAAAATCTATCAATACTTTTTGGAGACTACATAATTGGGGGGAAACTTTTTTCATTGAAGAAAAGTATCTTGGCTTTTATAATGTGAGTCTATAGGAATATTGATTCGATTTACCATAGGTTTTTATAAGACACAGTACTCTTACAAACTGGGGAATGCCTGTACAACTTTCCTAACATTCAAAGTACCACAACAATATTAAATACAATACCACAGACCACTTGAGGTCCAGTTAGCTTCAGGTCCACTTCACTGCAGGTCCAGCCAACTTCATTCTAGTTCACATCAGGTCCACTTTTGGCAGTGATGGAGAAAGTACCTGAAAATATTACTTAAGATAAAGTACTGCACTGTTGATATGCAAACATTTAAACTATGTACTAAGTACTGTAGTCTTCTTCAAAACTATGCAGATAAAAGTTTCATTAACTGAATTGAAACATACAGGCAGAAAAAGTAGTACAGCATTTGTAAAGAATCATAATTAATAAACAATGACATTATGTTTTGAAAACGAAGCTAAAAGTTATTAATATACTGCACTGTACTTTAAAGAATAACGAAATAAACACACATTCAAAATTTGGTTTGGGATGAAAAACGTGAATCTGGGCCACAATTTTGAGAGGTCCCGTACCACCGACGCCAATGGGAAGTGACTTTAGACACAAACATTTACATAAATGTCCACTTTTATAGGATTACTGTACAAGTGCACTTAAATACAAGTCCTCTAATATGCTCGGCTCGTACGCCCGACGACACGACGCGAAGTGACGACGTCGGTCTTACCTCCAGCGGGTCGGCGGCGGCGTTACTCCGTTTGCCGTTAACGGCGTCGTGTGCGAGACCGGACGGGTCTGTACGGTCGAGTCTCCACTTGTCGTACCGAGATGTGTTGTTGGTCCTTAAAGCTTCCTGGAAATGTAACAGATACCTATATAATACACAACACTGTAAAACTATTATATTATAGGCAGGGATTATATGACCGGTACTTGGCACAATAACCGCCGGTTATTTGACAAAGATCTAAAATAAAACTAAATCCTTTTGTCAACAGAAATTATACAATTAAATAATACCAAGATGGAATGACTTGTTTAATGCCCCCAACCATCCCGACTACAATCCCACACGATCCCCGCAGGTCCCGGTCAAATAGCCGACGGTCATTTGGCCCAGAATCCGGGTCAAATAACAACTTTGTATTAAAAATAAACATTACTTATTAGTTTAACACCACATGGAGAAACCGATTACTCAAATAGGTTACGTAAAGTTGAAATTATCTTTTTCCAACGGTTTTTATGGATATTTTGAACGATTATGACTTTTGGAAAATAGATGCACGGCCAAAACGATAATTTTACCAATATTTATTTGGATTTTTTCTAATAAATTTATATGATCTTAATTTCCTTACACTAACAAAAACAATGAATCTTCCAAAAAAAGTTACTTTCAACATGAAGGGTTAAAAAAAACATTAAAAACCCTACCTAACCTAATCTAATCTAAACTACCTAACTTCTTGCGATGGACGAGCAAAAATTTAATCGGCATACCCGGTTTCGTACAGTCCAATAGCGTTTACATTTCGTGGACGTGACCGACGTACAACGAAACTGCGACGATATTGACGGATTCTTATCGTGCTTCCGGGAGAAACCCACAATTTTGCGGGATTTATTATTTAAATCTCTCTCGCTCGAATTTCACATAATCTGCTGTGACCAAACAGAGGACAGTGCAAATCTATTGTGATATTTACGCAGGAGCAAAAATTTTTTTTTCTAGATATATTTAAGCCTCCCTCGTGACCTAAACGTTGAAGACGAGAACCGACTCAGACAAAACATTAAAACACAAAAATAAAACATTAAAGAAATAACTTTTTCTGTTATCACTAGTTAAATACAGCTACTCCTCGACTTACGACCGCCTCGGTCGTACCAAAATTTTGTCAAATTACCACTTTCGAGTCCCGACGTTAGTGATTGCGCTGTGTGCCGACAAAATTTTTGTTTGTAATTCCCTTTAAAATGGTTGGCAAGCGGAAGAGTGAGAGTTCTCGTGGTGCCGAGAAGAAGAATTGACACCCGTTTTAGATTTTCTATGTACGGTATTATTTTCGACTTGCGACCCGGTCGGCGGTCCCTAACCCCGTCGTAAGTCGGGGACCGACTGTACCGTAATGTGCTGGGTATATACAGTATAGCTCTACTGTATATCATTATCTACAAGAGTTAAGTCGGACTCGCGAACGAGCCTCGGGAACTCGACTCGTCCGTCTGTCGAGAAGCTCCTGTATTGGCTTATAATCGACGTGTACGGTCACCCAAAAATAATATCTTTAGCCACGGGGTCGACGTGATTCGAGGCTATTCGACCAATGTTACACGACCCGTTTCAGAACTGTTGCTAACTCTACGTCTACACCTCTGAGCATACGTATGTTTTTGAGAGATGCGAATCCTCCGAGGCTTCCGATCGCACGTCAAGCGAATTGAGATTGCGTGTCGTAAATGGACGCCGACGCCGTGCCGGTCATTAATGGGATCTTACGTCAAACGAACCGAGGAATTATCGGAAAGACGCAACGGGGCGAGCGAACCCGCGGTATCGCGATGGGTCAGCCGCTACGAAACGACCGGCGACGCGCCGATTTAAATTCTTATTGTGACGTTAAACCGACACTATTTACGAATCAATAATATTTGGCAGATCCCAATTAGACCGATATACTGTATATTGCTGTAGCTGTTCACTCTAATATCAACTACTATTTCCTTGGTCACCTCTCATAAATCATACGTGTCGTCGACGACTATATTCTGCAACTCGGTACGAATGAAACCGTCACTACGACACGGTGAAATGTTCGCCTCGAGGTCCGTCTCGGTTGCGACCTTCCAAGACTCTTTCATTTAACGTTTATTTTGATATTATTGTAATCCTCGGTTGAGGCCTTGTTTCTACCCAGCACGATACATACATTAATATAGCTTAATGAATTTCTTGTTATAGTAAAGCATATACAATACAGTTATATGTCACACGAGGATGACTCCCTCGCTACCCGCCGTCTATAGCCGTTGCCGATACAGTGAGCGGGCATAACAACTTATGCTGACGCAATGGGGATCACATCAATGTATTTCATCTAGAGTTTCAAATTTTACCGCAAGAAAATCTATCGATAGTTTTTGGGGGACTGTACATAATTTGGGGGGAACTTTTTTCATTGTAGAAAAATATCTTGCCTTTTATAATGTGCGTCTATAGGAATATTGATTCGATTTAATATAGGTTTTTAAGGCATAATACTCTTATAAACTGGGGAATGCCTGTAGAACATTCAAAGTACCACAACAATATTAAATACAATACCACAGAGTACTTGAGGTCCAACCAACTTCATTCTAGTTCACATCAGGTCCAAAGGTTCAGGTCCACTTTAGGCAGTGATAGAGAAAGTGCCTGAAAATATTACTTAAGATAAAGTACTGCACTGTTGATATGTAAAAATTTAAACTATGTCCTGTAGTCTTCTTCAACACTATGCAAATAAAAGTTTAATTAGCTCAACTGAATCATACAAGTAGAAAAAGTAGCACAGTATTTGTAGAGTATCATAATTAATAACAATGAAATTAGGCTTTAAAAACGAAGCTAAAAGTTATTAATATATTATACTGTACTGTACTTTAAAGAAAAACAAAATAAACACACATTCAAAATTGGGTATGGGATGGAAAACGTGAATCTGGGCAATATTTTTGAGGTGTCGCGTACCGCCGACGCCAATGGGACGTGACTTTAGACACAAACATTTACGTAAATGCCCACTTTTATAGGATTACTGTACAAGTGCACTTAAATACAAGTACTCTAATGTTAGGTTAGGTTGAAATTAGGTTTTTCCAATAGTTTTTGATGTGTTTAGAATGAGTCCGACCTCGGCGCTTCGCCGAAACTACAATTTTCCGTGTTTTTATTTTGTTTTGCTTTTTCTAATAGAAACGTGTGACCTTTATTTCCTTTAACACTAGAAACAACAACAACAATCATTCTTCCAAACTGAATTACACTTTCAACATGAGAGGTTAAACAAAATTGAAAATCCTATCTAACCTTTTGTGACGGACGCACAAAAAATGAATCGGCACACCCGGTTTATTACGTGACGCATCGCGGTTACATTTTGTGGACGTGACCAAAATAGGACGAAGCTACGACAATATTGACGGATTCTTATTGCACTAGCGGGCAAAAACTTTTGCGCAATTTAATATTTAAATTTCTTTCGTTTGAATTTCACATTATCTGTTGTGACCAATCAGAGGACAGTTCAAATCTATTGGGAGATTTATGCAAGTGCAAATTAGTTTTTTAAACGTATTCCAGCTTCCCTAGCGACCTATAAATGCTAATGACTCACTGACAAAACATTAATGAAATAACTTTTTCTTTTTTCAGTTAAATAAAGTAACCTTTATATATTATTTGAAGTGTTAAGGGATAGGAAAGGTTAGGTTAGGTTTTCTTTCTTTTTTTCTCAGAACACCACTACCACCAGAAATAGTTTTTCGATTTGGTTCATATTTTCCATAGGTGTTCTTATTATAATATTTTAAAAGAGGCAAAAACTTTTTTATTTTAATTAAAAGCACTTTTTTCTTTATTTTTCATATGATCTTAAATCACCTGTAGTGGGCAAAGGATGAAGGTTGGAGGAAATGGG